GGGATTGGCTAGCCGTCCGAATATACGGGTATCCTCGAATACAAGTAGCCAGCAATTGTGTGTGTGTGTGTGTGTGTTTAGGCAGCAATCCTTCTTCCATGCGCATATTATTGAATACGACAGACAAGGTGATTTTATTTAGTTTTTTTTTTATACAATTTCTCTTGCGATATATTATTTCTTTTCTTTTCGGATGATAAATTATATAAAAACTGTCCGAATGTTTTATCCGAGCGCTTTCGGCTATACATTTAGCCATTTTCAAGGATTAACTATTTTAACTGTTAAATAAGAAATAGTTTGTTACATGTATGTTTTATAAAATGTTTTCATTTTTTAAAACACGGTCAAGATATTTTGTCCATTTTTAAAGTTGATATTATTGAGTGATTGTTTTTTTGATCATGGCATATTTGTATTTTAAATGAAGTCTCTAACTGCACACTTATTGCATGCATAATTAGTTTAACTACAGTATACACGACTTACCAAAAAAAGAACACATGCCGATTTGATTGTTACATGTGCACAAAAAATATTTGAACTGGCAATCATGTGAAACAAAAATACAGAGTGTAAATGTAAAGGTTCACTTACATTTGCACATCTTGATATTTAGTTTTTGATTAATATTTTTACTCCCGCTTGATAGAGTTTTTTGAAAGTGGTAGTAAAGGTTTTACTTAATTAATATATAGTTTAATTAAGATTTGTTGATCATCAGGAAAAAAAGAGACATTTAAATTTAAATATTATCTTAGACGTACACTTACTTTTTGCGCATATATATATATATATATATATATATATATATATATATATATATATATATATATATAATAGGGGGTTTCACATAAAATTACTTTTTTTTAATTTTTAATTAATACTTTTAGTCCAGCTTCATAAAAATTTTGGAAATGGTTGTAATTCATCTGATAAAGGTTTTTTTTCTTAATGAATATATAGTTATATTAAGATTTGTTCATTATCTGGAAAAACGTGACAATTTTTTAAAACATATTATTATCTTCGGGGCTCACTTACCTTTGCACATATATATATATATATATATATATATATATATATATATATATATATATATATATATATATATATATATATATATATATATATATATACGAGTGTATGTGTATGATTATTATATCATAGCCCAAAACATTAATATCTGCCTTTTTTCTCTTTCCATTTTTTTCCATTACTTTTTTACGCTTTCCATTCCCCTCTCTCTCTCTCTCTCTCTCTCTCTCTCTCTCTTCCGTTAATTTTTCTTCTTTTCTATTTCCACGTTTTCATTTCCCTGTCTGTCTGTATGTCTATCTCTTTCACTCTCACTCTTTCTCTCTTTTATTTCTTATAAACATTCGAGACGCAAAAATTATTGCATCAACTACAACTTTTCTCCTACGTGTATAAAAAACTGATATTTTCACACACACACACAAACGCAAACAAACACACACTGTAAAATGACGGTTTAAATCTATATATACACAGAATGACGTATCTTTCTTGATACACATGCATGTATTTTACCATAAAGAAACCGAAAATAAAATTTGTCCATCAGTAAATCAGTTCCTCTTAATTCAAACAATGGGTGAGCAAACACTGCTTCCCGGTAACCACAGGTTTAATAAGTTCCTCATTTTAACTACAAGTAAACAGACGTTCAAATTTAAAAGAAAAAAAACATTTCAACATTCATATTGACGCTTCCTTTCATCTTTCTTTCGAGTGTTTGAATGTTTGTCGCAGTCGTCCTATTTAACAAGCTTTAATATTATTCTTCGAAACAAATTGATAAATTTTCATTTTTTTTTTTTTAGCCACAACATTTCTCCTTTCAATAAATAATTATATCATCATCATTATCCTTCGACCTCATTATGGCTGGCCGTAACTCCATTGACAATCCCTTTTCCACATTGTTCCGTCCTGCATTGCTGTCCTCAGATCCACAATGTCCGACCCTGAGTACCGAGCTATGGCGTCTGGTAAAGTCAATTTTTGTGAGAAGACACTTCCAGAAGGATGCCATAGGAGTAAGTATGAGACGATTTCCCTGTCCGCTCGGTGACAGAGGCCAGCAAACTATAATCGTTTTTGTTTGAGCTTAAGAGAGATTGGTCTCAGTTCCCCGTAAATAGTGTTAAGCGTTGCATGGCATCTCCAACTGATGTTCTGGATTTTACTAAGTAGATTTGTATATATTCCATCCAGTCGCCTTTCAAGACGAACACATAATGCCCAAGTTTAGAATTATATAAAAAAATTGTAACGTTGAGTTTAACCGTTTCCATACATGAAACATTCAGCATTTATTGGCCGAGAAGTTAGTGGTTGCAATTTGTAAAATCTTTCTCTTAAAACAGCTTTTTTTTTCAGGAAAATAGATTTCTCAAGTCCATTAACTGTTATTGCTCTTTCTAGTACTGACAGCAGTTTCCTTCCTAACGCTTTGTTTAAGGTAGTGCGGAAGGTCAATATTTTGAATTTATAATTATTTTGACTTCTAGTTACATGTGCTATACATTTTTGTTGTACAATTCTTGGAAATATTCAAGTGATTTATTTTTTTTATTTGGTAATGGTCTTTTTGATTCTGTAGCGCCATTCTGTAAGGTTTGATGAAGAACTGTCTTCTTTAAGGTCTAGGAAATTCATTCGCTTGAAGCCATATTTAATCATTGATCTGAGAAAACCGTAGTATAAAGATTTTTTTTTTAAATTTTCACTTGAAGCAATGGGATAAAGCCACTAAGACGCAAGTGGTTACTGTGTGTGAAAGAATCTGAAAAATATTATTTAGAAGAGAGGACAATAAAAGAATAGGAATTTATGAGACAGAAGATGACGATTTACATTGCAATTAATTTTTTATGTTCAAAGTTGATTGGGACGCAATAATCCGGGAGAGAGCTTCAGAAGCAAAAAGTGCGAGAGAAGAAACTGTTAGCATAGAACTTACGGTTACATCTAACAGTTTGAACAGTAAATTGATGAGACCTTGTTGCCGATCTAGTACTGCGCTTAAATTCATAAAATCTAGGTACCCTAGTGAAGAACTCATCCGAACAAATGAAAGTATTTATAGAAAAGGCGCAGAGAAGCAACCTTACATCGGTGGGAAAATGACTGAAGCCGAGATGCCATATCAGTACCAATAACATTACCGATTCTTCATTGGATTTCATCAATAATTTCTAAATACATAGCAAGAGCATCGAACCATATGTGTTAGCAATATTCTAAGTATGGACGAATGGTAGACTTATAAATATTTAAAATAGATTGTGGAGAGAAATGTTGTCTAGCACGACACAGTGAACCATCTTTCTTAATAGCTGACCTAGCAATGGATTCAATGTAATCTTTCAAGTTCATGTCAGCTGGAAATGTTAACCTGATAAGGCTCAGCGAGTCACTTTCCTAGGGGTTAATATGATGAAGTAGCGGTTCACCGTACGATCACCGAACTTAAGCAACATCGAGCATGGTCGGTACCTACATGGGTGACCGCTTGGGAATACCAGGTGATGTAAGCTTCGGTGTGCAGGTGGTATAATCGATAATGGCATTTGTTAATCGGAGAACCTAATTACAGATCTAGTTGGGTTGATTATATTCAATTATGCGCAAACACCCTTAGGGATGGTATTAATTTGTCTCTTCTCCCACTTGCTATAGGTTTTAATTCGTAAGACTTCTATCACTAAACCATTAATATCTCCAAAAACAGAAAAAAAAACTCTTACATTCTAAAAATATTTTCTGGCTTTAAATAACCTGCAAGAGGTTGATAAACCACAAAAAAAAAACAATCAGAATAAAGGACTACTAAATATTTAATACATAAAATTATTGTTTATTCACTTCTGGACTTCATGTTAGCATGAGAGTGTGTGGTTTGGTGGACTTTCCTTAAACAATGATCATCTTGTGTGGATATGAGAGATGCTGATTCAGGTAGGGTGTTTATATAATTTCCTATCATCTGGTTTTCCTGTGTGTGCAAATCCTATGCTCAGTTGGACCACCGTCTTGTTTATATGCTGTGGCCAGCTACTGAGATCATTTGAAACTCACTTCTGCACTTACATGGTTTTCATATTTCAGTTTTGTATGTACATTTATAGGTATAAAATCAAATTTACCAATTATAAATTTGTTGCTTGCATTTTTTTCGTCGGTGTAAAAACACCATGATGGTTATCAACCTAGAAAATGGAACCATTATAATTTCATAACATCTAATCAGAATAAAATAAAGGAGGTTTACGGCCATATTATGTTGAAACCCCAGTTCTCATATGATCAACAAAGTTAAGCAACATACCTCAAAGGAGTAACTGCTTGAGAATACCAGGTGTTGTAAGCATGGATGTGCAGCTGGTGTAATGGATAATGGCACAGAATTGTTAATCAGAGAACCGAGTTCTAGTTCCAGTTGGGTTTGTTATATTCACTTACGCGCAAACATCCTTAGGGAAAGTATGAATTTGTCTCTTCTCCCACTAGCTATGAATTAATCAGTAAGACTTGTATCACTAAACCATTATTATCTCCAAAAAAGAAAAAAAATTTTACATTCTAAAAATATTTTATGATTTTAAATAACCTGCATGGGGTTGACTAACGACAAAAAAAAAACAATCAGAATAATTCATCTTTTTCCCACCAGCTATGGGTTAATCAGTAAATCTTTATCATTAAAACATTATTATCTGGAAAAAAGAATTCTTAGAGTCTATTTTTTAGCTTTAAATAACCTGCAAATGGTTGATAAGCTATTAAAAATGTTGCATCTTGCCAGAACAAACACCAGAGCAACGGAAAAGTTTTTTTAAAAAATCCTGTTTTTTAAATGGTAGAAACACAAATCACAGGTTGTTCTAAAAATAAATAATATCCACATGAGTGTATCAATCTGACGAAGTTATTTTCCAACATTAACTCAAGGTGGCTTACAACCACCTCACATTGAAATACCAGTTCACCATACGATCACCAGAGTTAAGCAACATCAAGCATGGTCAGTACCTAGATGGGTGACCGCTTGGGAATACCAGGTGATGTAAGCTTAGATTTGTGGCCGGTATAATCAATAATAGCACAGAATTGTTAATCGGAGAACCGAGTTCTAGTTCCAGTTGGGTTCGTTATATTCATTTACGCGCAAACACCCTTTAGGGAAGGTGGGGTATGAATTTAGCTTTTTTCCCACCAACTATGGGTCAATCAGTAAAACTTGTATCATTAAAACATTATTATCTAGAAAAGGTATTCTTACAGTCTATTTTTTAGCTGGAAATAACCTGCAAATGGTTGATAAGCCGTAAAAATGTTGCATCTTGCCAGAACAAACAGTAGAGCAACGGAAAACTTTTTTTAAAAAATCCTTCGATGTAAATGGCATAAACACAAGTCACAGATTGTTCTAAAAATAGTAAAGTGAAATGAAAGTATAGAACGCATTCATTTTACTGATAATAGTTCTGGCGGGTAATTCCCACCAAAGAAATATACCAAATTTAGATGCTGACGATCAAATCATATATATATATATATATATATATATATATATATATATATATATATATATATATATATATATATAGTTAGTTAGTTAGTTACTTAGTTAGACCGAGAGAGCCAGACAAACCTATCGAGGTTTCACCTAAGCGTATCGTCAGGGAAGGCCGGCTCTACTCATTGTATTGAGCACTTTATTTAGTTGTTTTGGGTACTCGCATAGGGTTTTTTTCTTTGTGCCTTGAACTCGTATGCTGGACGATTATTTTCGGTTAACGTACATGTTCTCGGTTCTTTCTTTTTTTATACCTTTTTTTCCCCTTTGGTATTGGTTTGATTATTTGCAAATCAAGACAACGAAGGTTTTCCGAGCAAGTATAGTTTCTTATACTTATAAGATTTATAATATATATATATATATATATATATATATATATATATATGTGTGTGTGTGTGTTTGTGTGTGTGTGTGTGTGTGTGTGTGTGTGTCTGTGCGCGCGTGTATATCTGTCTGCCTGTGTGCGTGTGCAGGGTGTGATGGAAAAATCGTTGCCATATTTTTAATTTTGCGCATGCGCGTTGTTTGTTTTTTATTTTGTCGACTGCAGAGTATAGTAGGGCCATTTGGGCAACATCTGTGAGAAAAAGGGCGCCGTGATGCAATTCGCTCCATCAGAAATTTCAAAAAGGCATGCTGTACTGCTTGGTATTCGCACTGAAAGCTCCAAGACAAATATCTCAGAGTGTTTTGGTGTCAATCTGAGGGTAATGCAGAGGATACGGAAAGAATTGGATGAAATATCCAGTGAACATCATAGTGTTTGGAGTGATCCCTAGTGATAGCGACATTATGCTTACATTCATCTTCCCAGAGTGACTCAGACTCAACACGAGGCCTACATCAAGTGCCTTAAGGAGTTAGTGCTGCCCTGAGTCAATAGGTTGGCTGCTGGAAGATCCTATGTCTGTCAAGACGACTCTGCATAATGCCACACTAGCAAGAGAACCCAGTCATGGCTGTCAGACAAATTCTGCGACCACTTCACTCCTTAAACCTAACACCCCAGACTAAAAGCTCCTTGATAATTATGTGTGGGGCGCAGTTGAGCTAGACACCAACAAAACTTCTTGTAACACCAAAGATGAACTGAAAGCAAGGATTATGGCAGCATTCACCAAATTAAACAAGGAGACCGTCCAGAGAAGTTGCAGAAAATTCCGAAGTCTTCTGGAGGCCGTGGTTGAAGCCAATGGGGATTTTATTGAATAAATTTACTCTTTAGTATTTCAAGATATTTTTGTGTAACTTTGGTAAATATATCTGTTAAAATGAGATATCAGTGTTATTTTCCTTTTTGCACAATTTAGACGACAATTTATCCATCGCACCCTCTATAGTGATTATCATCACTATCACACACGCACATACATACAGATCACACGACAAGCATTTATTGGCTAATCTCTTCAAAACTAGCTCGCTGACTGGTCAATTCCGACCAATCAGATCGCCTGCACGCGAGGAATGATATTTTCACGCGAACATGGTCGGAGCCTGTCACGTGATAGACCACCTTACATAAACAAAACACGAGTAAGCCTTCTCTCTCTGTTTTTTCTTTCGTCTTCTTCCTTGATTGCCACGATGTAATATTCAAAAGCTCCCGTCTTGACCTTGCGGTCAGACGTGAAAGAACATTACCAACATTCACGCAAGTACGAATTCTTACCCCTTCTGAACTCTACCAACTTTTCCAACTCACGTTTTCTAACATGCAACAGGAACTTTATTCATTTAAAACTACAGTTTAATAATTAATTCAACTTCGTGAGCTCCGGTACAAATATTTCCCCAATCTAAGTGACGTAACTCTATCAAACCTTTAGCTTATATGCATGTACATCAAAACAAATAAATTCAAATGTTATTTTTGAATGATTACGTTATGTCTTGTAGTTTTGCTATGTGCTATTTTACGTCAAATATAAATTGCATGTGACCGCCACATTTGATGGTGACCTCCAGTGTCTTTGCTTGTCCTTTTCCACGTCATTCCTAATCAAAGTTAAATAAATGTGGTGAGGTTCATCTACATCTGATTGACAATACTTCACATTTTTATTGCTGACCCGTCGTCCGTTCCAGATCTCTTTCTCTCTCTCTCTCTCTCTCTCTCTCTCTCTCTCTCTCTCTGATTTTCTTTCGCTCTCTCAATCTTTCTCTATCTATCTCTCCTCTCTCTCTTTCCATATATATATATATATATATATATATATATATATATATATATATATATGTATATATAAACAAATATATGGATATAGATCCGACAGTATGACGATGGACATAAGAGTAAGACTAATCAAAACAGATAACTGAAATTTTTTCAAGATCAGCGTTCCGTTTCAATATCCATCGTGTTTTTCATGTTGAATTGAATATAGTCTAATGTTATTTATGTTTTATGAATATATGTCCTGAAGATGGTCTACTAGACCGAAACGTCCGACGTTGACATTATATTAACATTAAAACAGCATAATTGCATATTAGGATTTTTGTTTGTTTTTCCGTATATTTTTCTTCATATATATATATATATATATATATATATATTATTATTATTATTATTATTATTATCGTCATTTTTAGTGGATACACGTATTTGATCAGACGCTCCGTTTAAACAGTATTTACTTTCGTCTACCGGACTGAATATTTGAGAAAAATATATGCACTCTTCGACAGGATTCAAACCTGCGTTCCCTTAGGTGAAATCCTCATTAGATCTGACGTGCTTTGAGCTCTCGGCTACGGAGAGCGTCGATGGTTAAGCAAGGTCTGAATAGTGTCTTTATACACGGATTTGTGTCCGACTATCGAAATTTACATATCTGATTAGTTTTGTATCATAACATAAACAATTTCTAAAGAGAGGAGTGGATTTTTTTTATTTATTAATCCGACAGAATTTTCTTATACATCTATATCAGGTTGGTACAAAAGTAATGTCTGAGTTTTGAGAAGAAAGTTGTGGACAGTATTTATGAAATTTGTCTCCCTCGTTATAGTTAAGGAATGTCACCATAAGTACCTTTCCCTTTCAGATTATAAAAATATTTTTCATGATCTCCCGTAATATTCGCACACATGTTTATCTCATCTAAAGATCACATTCACCATATCTTACTGTATGAGCTTGATAATTGTTCCAGTGTAAGTGCAGAAGTCAATTCTATTCTTATGGATACAATGCTGTGTATGAAACAAGTTTCAGGTGGTAGTTTTCCCGTTTCCAAAGTGAGGATTACCGTTTGAAAGGCGAGCAAATAGAAGGTCGTCGAAAAAAAAAACTTGATTCCGAAGAGTTGGAAACTCTTGTCACAGACAATCCAGATATTACCTCTAAGGAATTTGCAGAACAATTTAATCTAGACCGTCCAACGGTGCTACGCTAATTAAGAAGGATCAGAAAGCTTTCAATGGTTGGACAATGGATCTCACACGAACTGTCTCCAGAGAATCTGCAACAACATGTTCCTTATTGTGAATCATCGCTTTCACGACACCTTCAGGTAGGCTTTTTAGGTAGGTTTATTACAGGTGGTGAGAAATGAATCCGTTACCATAACGCTAAACGCCGCCCCTCGTCAATCAGTCGAGGGCGAAGATCAGTTCGGCAACCAAGAGGAAAAGTTCATCCAAAGAAGATCCTGTTGAGTGTTTGGTGGGATATTGATGGAATTGTCCATTACGAACTGTTAAATGACACTCAAACAATTACAGCTAATCTGTACTGTGATCAAACTCCTTCGTCTGAAAATAGCTTTAAACCAAAAGCGGACTTTCTTAGTGAACAGAAAGGGTGCAAATAATCCATTACGATAAAGATCGTCCTCACACAGCTCGGCTGACTAAAGATCTTTTGGAAGAACTTGGTCGGAAAATATTGCATCATCTACCATATTCTCCTGCCCTTGACTCGTGTGATTATCCCTTGTTTTAAGGACTACATAATCACTTGGATGGTTTGTTTTGTTTTGTTTTACGGCATATCAACCACAATGGGTTATTTAATGCCGACAATTTTTATTGCTGGTAATATTTTTTTCTTTCAAAAGTGTATTGCTGGTAATAATTTTTATTCAAAAATTTATTGCTGATAATTTTTTTACAAAGTATATCTGGTATTAAACCTATTTTCACACTTTCATAGTGTTTTGACCCCAGTTTGGGGGTTAACTATTTGCCCATAGTTGGAATCCTAACAGGTGTTATCACCCCGGGTCAAGGTTGATGTGAGAATACTAACAATTAAGAGGTGGTTCCATGCTCCTCAAAACCTCCTGTTGGATGTAGTTTATCGTCTTATCCAGGACGGGAATCACTTGGATGGTCTTATGTTGACACCAATAGACGGGGTTGAAAATTCGTTAGTCATATTTTACTTCAAAACCTAAGGAATTTTACACGCATGGCATTTATAAGCAAGTTGACAGATGAAATGATGTTCTAGAAAACAAATGAGGTTATTTTAACGAATAAA